CCTCATCAAAGTTTAATTTCTATGCTGATGATGCTCCTCTTTCTGCTGAGCATGACAATCAATAACCCCTTCCTCGGTGAAACGCAGAATGATCTGAGACTCTCTCAGCAGCTCCTCTGTAAAGCGACCCGTCCTGCTTCCTGTTTTGTCACTGAGGTGGATGCTTCTTGTTGAATCTGTTATGTTCAGCTTCAGTCAGATGTGTGTTTCTAATGTTTGGCTGTAAATGAACTCAGTTTGTGTTTCAGCTGTGAATCTTTCATCTCTGCTGTCTTTTTATCTCCTCGTTTTCATCTTTTATTCAGCGTGTGCTTTGATCTCATTTCTGTGTTTTATTGATTGACTTTGTTCAGACTCGGAGCAGCTGCACATCTCCATCACCTGAAACGTCACAGTTTTTCTTCCGCATTGCTGTTAACGCTCAGTTGAATAATGAAACATTCACATCGGTCTTAGCGACTCTTCGGTGAGCTTTAGCTTTCGAAACAGAAACTCCTCAGAGTTTGATGGTGTGTTTAAGGTCTCACCTGTGTTTCCTGCCAGGAGATGATCTCAGGTTTCACTCTGTAAATCAGAGAGAGTAGGTTTGTTCTTCTCGCAGTTCTCCTGTAGGATGACAAGTTATCATCCAAACGGCTGGTCAGAAAGGCCGGGATGGCCTCATTTAAGTCTGCAGGGAGCCGACAGCCTGACGGCTCCAAAATAAGAAACAGACCTCAGAGTTCACACTTCAGCTTCACCTGCACCTGCACTGCCTGGAGAAAGGTGGAGAAGCTCCGTGCTGAAAAATACCACCTGTATCCAGGTGAGTCAGAAACACTAAGACCATGTCCACACTAATACGTTTTCGTTTGAAAACGCATTGTTTTCTCTCAGGTTTGACCTTCCATCCACACTGAGATAGAGTTTTTGGTCAAGGAAAACGGAGGTGTTTGAAAACCCTCTCCAAAGCGGATACATTTGAAAACCCCGGTTTTTGCGTCACAGTGTGGACTGTGAACCTGGAGCATGCGAAAACAATGACGCATTTTAGTCATATGATGCAGTCATGTGACCAACTAAACTAAGATAGCGGAGAGCATTATAGAGCAGTTGTTTTGTTTGGTCTCAATTTTGACAGTCCTATTAAAGATTAATATCAGTTTGTACATGCTCCAGATAGCTTTTCTTCAAATTCTTTAATTCTCACTCGCTTTTGCAACTTTTGTACTTTTGTGTTACTCGCAGCAAGAACTTCACCTCATTGTCAGTCCATTTAAAAAACGTGGTTCTTTTCCTCGACATTTTGCTGCAACGTTCCTAAGAGGCAGAAAGTAAATAAACAGCAGACAGAAATGAGGCAGGCCGAATTGTCTTACGTTTTACGCATATGCACAATACTGAAATCCGTCGTTTCAGTGTGGATGAACAACTGTTCGGAAACAAAAAAAATCCTGAAAATGATAGTGCGGACACGGAGTGTTTTTAGACAAAAACATTGTTTTGAATTTTATCTGGATTAGTGTAGACGTAGCCTGAAACACACTCGGCCAGTGTGAAGGTGTTTGAATACATTTATTTAGCACCTGGAGCTCAGCGTCAGGATCTCATTGGTGGTTGAGTTTTTCATGAGTTTTTCATGGTGCACCTGCAGGCTCAGCAGAAGATCAAAACTCGGGTCCAGGTTTATCCCAAATACGTTTGATCCCGGGTGAATGTCGTGGACAAATGTCTGAGTTAGAGGCGATGACGTTTATATTTAGTGTTTTTATTAGCCTTCTGTTCCTTCTCATATCGTGGTTTCTGTACTGAGATCACAAAATGTTCATGAAAGGAAGAACATCTGAGATCCTCACAACCTCTGAAATGACGAAGCGAGCAGCATTCTGCTCAGAGTTTAAATCACAGCCTGACAAGTGTTTGTGCGCACACTGCAGACCAGTGTGTGTGTGTTTCATTGTTCCTCCATCACACACATCCAGTGATCCAGTGGTTAAATCTGTGCAGCTGCGATTAACATCACACAGACTCACAAACACGAAAAACACTACACAGTGTGTTTTACACACACACACACACAGAGATACACACAAAACTACACAGTGTGTTTTACGCACACACAAACCCACACACACACAGAAACGTTTCCAGATGCAGTTGAGAGGATTGACAATTTGATCCCATCGGGAACGGGAAATGACCCTTTGTTCCGAGGATTACGAGTTCATGTTTTAAAATTTCAAGCGTCACGGCCCTTTTGCCTCCATCGGTGATTTCCTGCATTTCCCATGATGCCCTAGGACAGGTAGAGCCTGCAGGGCTGCTTTTATTCTGGGAGTGAAACGAGTAAAATCAGCTGCTTTTTTGTTTCTCCTCAGGAAACGTTTCATGCTGCAGTCCGCACAAAACTTTCTGTAGCTCAGGAACTTGCATATTCACTGGGCTCTTCATCATCACCATCATCATCATTATCATCTTCCTGAGCAAACTGCTTTTGTCTCCTTCTCCTCTTCATCCTCCTCTTGATTTCAGATGTCTCAACTCAGATTTAACCCAATTATTCTGCTGTGATCTCATGGCTCTGAAGCGAGGATCGTCTCTGATCTGTGACGTCATGTGACTGTGTGCGTGGCCACAGTCCTCAAACTTAAACATTCTTAAAATGAACTCTTCGTGGTCCTTTGAAACTGCTGAGAGTAAAAACAGGAAATGACATCACAGTGTACCCAGAAACCTTATCTGTTCAAAACCAAACATTATCCTGACTTCAAGTAACATCAGGTGACCTCAGGTGACCTCGTGCTGCTGCGTATTTGGAGGTGAACTGCAGTAAAGCGAGGTGTCGACCTGACGGCCAATCCAACGTTTCTGTTCTCGCAGGTCTGACACTTCAAATCCTTAAAGCTCCGCCTGTCAGTGCATTGTCACGGTGACGGACAGAGGACGTGTCCTGCATCACCATAGCAACAGAGAGAGCAGCATCTCTTTGATCTGCCTTCAGCTGTCTGATGGTTTCAAGCATCAGCGGCTGCAGGTGATAAACTGATCACCTGCAGCCACACCTGAGCTGAGACATCAGCAGCTTTGAGGTGAGTGCCTGGCTCAAAGGTCACGGCAGGACTGATTATCATACCTGAACACACCTGCAGGGACGTCTTCATGTTACAGTGTGAACCCCCGGCAATGTGGTGTAAACAACACAAACAAACGCACACACTGAAGTAACACTTGGCTTTTGTGGAAACATGTGAAGTGGCCACAGAGGAATCAAATGGTGGAGCTGGAAATGAGCAGCACAGGTGCCCTGCTCAGTTAGTTTGCTTCAACCCACAGGAAGCTGTTTTAAATGAATGTATGTTCTGCTGTATGTTTTGTGTGTCATGTATAAACCTTTTTTGAGAACTTCGTGGGAATCAGTTTCCATTTTTCATGTCACTAACAATCTGTTCACACTTCAGAAATAAAAGCATATCAGATTTTTTTTCCCAAGACCAACTGAACATGTAAACCAGAGTCTGTTCTCTGATGTTCTCCTCTGATGGTATGAAACAGGAAGCTGTTTCATGGTGGTTTTGTGTGGGTTTGTGGAGCGTTGCTCTTTAGTAGCAGATTTAACTTCCAGACACGAACAGGACTGACTGATCTGATTGATATTCTCATTTCTAAAACTGTTCTCCTCCAGAACCGGTTCCACCTGCAGATGGTGACGGGTGTTCCAGAGTCCGGTCTGTCTGATCTGCTGCTGACTGTTCTGCAGCGGTCCGGTTGGCGGGAGGGGACCGCCGTGCTGTGTCGGGGCTGGGAGGAGGCTCGGGGTCTTCTGCAGCTCCTAGACCATCACAGCAGTGCATCGTGGGAGGGCGGCAGGAGGGTCACCTGGCACTTGCGAGCCCTGCTGAACCTGACGCAGTTGGCTCATGATGACACGCAGATCCACGACTTCCTGTCTCGACACTTCCGGCAGAACCAAGCCTCACCAGCCTCAGTGCTGCTGTTCGGGGCCGACCCGCAGTGCGCAGCGGCTGTGCTGCGCAGCGCCCAGGACCTGGGCCTGACGTTACCCATGGTACACTGGGTGCTGGGTCAGCCGCTCAGCCCCGACGTGCTGCACACCATCGGGCTGCCGCTTGGCCTACTGGCCTACGGTGAGGTGGAACGGAAACCGCTTGACTACTACGTTAGAGACGCCCTGCAGCTCATCACCAGGGCTGTTGCTGCGGCGACTGCGGTGAGGCCGGACCTGGCTCTGATCCAGAACACGATGAACTGCTACGACAAACCCAACAAGCACGAGCTGCTGACCTCAGGACAGTACCTGTCCAGGTAAGAGGACACTTTAGTCTCTCAGTTTAGATATCATCACAGAATTGGTTTCACTTTTCGGGATTTGATGTTTTCATAGCTTTTTAAGCAAGGACAAAAAACATCACAACCCAAAGAAAAGATTTTACTCTCCCAGTGTTCTTAGAGCTGTGGATTCACAGGGAGGACCAGGTGGACTTCATCTTAGAGCACACCTGAAGCTGAAGACTTACAGTAAGGTAGTCACATGAAGCAGGCCTGATCATTTAGAGCTTTGACTCTTCATACTTAATACAGTTTTATATAAATCTGTTTCAAAAACAGCACAGAAGAAATCATTTTTCATCAGTCTGTGCCTCAGTCTGCCATGCTGATGGTTTAGACGTTTCCCTTACGGAGACAAAATAATTTTATTTAATTATCAAGTTAATTAAAAAACATTGAGTAACACTTTATAATACGACCCAAGCCCTGAAAAGCAAAGTGTGCTTAAGTATCCAAGAAATTATGCAGTACTTAAAATTAACTACAGTATCTCTACTGTACTGTACTGTAAAATGCAATTGCATTGAAGTTCCATCAATTGCATTGAAATGCATTCAAATTCCATTAATTACAGAGTAATTACAATCTTATTAAAAGCCCCTTTGGACTCCTGGACCCCTATTTATCAATTATTGGTTATAAACGACCTTTAACCTTCTGGAACGTGACTGAACTATGAAGCAAGCACTGCTGAAACAAAGGAGGCTGTCACAAACACAGCAGCTGAGCTCGTTTGGAGGCAGAGCCGATAAGAAGGAAGCTGTAACAGGATTAAAGCCTCTGCAGAGGTAGGCGTCAATATGCAGACTGTACAGAGAGGCTCGAATGCAGCCGAAGATCGTCCCAGATTCAGCATTTGAGATAAAACACAGCTCTCATCGACAGGCCAGTGTCACCCTTCTGTGTGTCTCATGTTTGAAGCTGCTCTGACTGAAAGGAACGGGTACATCACTCTGTTCTCAGAATTAAACATGAATTCTTCTCATAATTAGAAAGTAGTGCAGCAATTAATGTTTATGGTAGATTTAATGAGTAATTTCAGCTTTACTGTCAGCACTGAGATTCAGCTCCAGCAACTGTTTGATGGAAAAAAGAGGTGACTTTGATTACACCATCCACACCTGCAGGCAGGAGGAGTTTATATTAATACTGCCTTATATTCATATATACAGTGCGTGTGTTGGAAATAAACATGTTGGATCTAGCTGTTATTTATGAGGAAGTTTATTACAGTTCACACTCTCTGATCTCCAGCAGCCTCAGAAGAATAATGTGTTGATGGAACCCAGAATGTTTCCTTCATGGGGATCATTGATGTATTTGAACCAGTTACTGCCATTAACCAAAGGTGTGTTTCTGAACATGAGATCCAAAGTGGTGCCAGCATTTCTCATCACTCTGAGAGACTTTGAAGGTGCAGTCAGACATTTTTTAAGATATATTTATGAGTAAAGTATTTTTCTATTAAATAGATTAATGTGTAACTTCCAAAAAACTGACAAGTTTAGCTATCAGTAACCTAACACATGGACCTATGATTAATCTATTAAATATGCACACGAGCATTGCCAGTTTGCGAAATCCGCCATGTTCCACCATATTTGAATA